AGAATAAATTTGATCAGAGGATTGGTACCACTCATATCCCTGTGCTACGTAGACAGCTGCATACTTTGACCCTGGGACATCAAACTAAACAAGGTTAAGGGGCACTAGGGTAATCAAATGGACTTCACTTAGTGTATTATAATCACTTTACTTAAAATAAACTAAAGTGCTTCCTTTCATGAAGGAGTTCTGAGGTGCTTGCTGCAGTGCACTTCAAAGTTAAGATGGACTCAGTGTCCATTTCTCTGACTGGCTTTCACTTGCTCAACAGCCCAGACTGTCATGAGTAGTGTGACAAGGCAAGCATTGTCTAGGAAGACGGAAATTTGCCATTTGTACATCAGAGTGCATTGAAGTGTTGTCAAGCACTTGCATGTAATGGGTGGGTAGGCTTATTGAAGGGGCCGAGAGGGTGCCGGGACGCCGCAGAAAATAAATTACTCAATCACACAGATTCACGAGTGGATAATAGTTCAGGATGATGCTTCCTTTGCATCTGGGTGGAACAGTTTCATTTTCCATCACTGTGGTCAGCAAGAGCAAAGTAGAAAAAGTGCTTGAGTACTTCCCTGAAGATATGATGTTTTTCTAGGACTCTTCAGATAAATGGAGAGCCTTTCAGCCAGTGGGACAATTTTGGAACGAGTTCCATAGGAAGAGAGCACATCTCTCAGTTGAACTCTCATTATACAGTAGCTTCTGTGTCAGGACTGCCTGTTTTTAAATTGTTTCCACAAAGCCTTAATAAATGTAAAGGCTGACCAACAGAAATGTGGGCTGTTTCGTGATAACTAGAACTAGAAGGAAAGCAATATTTTTTCTTCTGAACACAGATGAGTGGAATTTGATGATATTTTTTATCAGTGAAGGTGGGCTTGTGTATGCCCTTTGAACCCTGTGGGAGGACTCTCCTTTTGGCTCTACAGGGAGGTCAGAGGTCATGGTCAGCTTTGAAACTGCCTCTTTATCTTCAGGCTAAAGGTCTTCCTGCTCACTTTTGCCTATGCACTTATCAATCTCAGTGTTCCAAGTGCTGAGTGAAGCATCAGAGTAGGCTCGTTGGATAAATACACCCTTGATGAATGTGAGCCAAAGGTAAACATGAGGTAAACAGATTAACCAGCAATTTGGATATTTGGTTTGATAAATTGAGCTTTATGTGCCACTATGTAGAGATGAGTTGCTCCTAAATACTTACACCCAAAAGCATGAACTATCTGACTGAACCAACCAACAAAACAAAGATTAGCTTGCTAAAATATGGCCTGTTACGAGAGAAGGTTAAAATTAATAGTGTTGAACATTGTCTACACACATGACCTCAAACTTGAAAAGATGTTGTTTAATAATCATGTACTTTTTACAGAAGGATGGACATCCTGAAAGCATAATGCCTCTGGCCACAGTCATCCCTGGCACCGAGGAGTAAAAATAAAACAAGTTCCTCAGATTACAAAATGTTACACCAATATGCTATAGGTGTTTTCTACATATTACGCTAATGTAAAGTTGGACATTTTAGCTACCTAAAACATTTCTTGGGTTTTAATGGTGCAACCTGATTTAGTAAATCACTATTTTGAAACTACTTAGGAGCTATGGAGAACTTGTGCTCAAATTTACAGATGGGTTTATGAATAGCTGGTGCAGTGCAGTGCAGGTTCATTCATTTATGCTATTCCCATGTGAGTCATGTTGCCTGTCACAGCGCTGAAATCATCCTGGATGAATTCAGAGAACTTCCAGAAGAATTACATTACTCGACTGTAAGAAATTTGGGTTAAAGCTGCTGTTAGTATTTTCTGCTAAGAGTAGATCAAATGACTTTGTGTCACTTATAGTGACCAAGCAATAGAGAATTTTCACTGGACCCAATGTTTTCTTCTTTGTTCTACCGAATATTTTAGCATATTTCAGCTCTGTGTTTCAGTTTTACAACCTGCAGCTTTTTTGATTCAGCCTTAGTTTCCAGTTGCAACAGCTAACTATTATTAGCATAAAGTAGCTATGTTAAACCTACCTTACAATACCTGCCCAGCACCAAACAGTACATAGACAAAGTCAGTGACTAGCTGGTGAACACAGTGGAGCATTTCACAGCTGAAGCACTCATGGCTGCTTGATGTGTAAATAGGCAGCAGTTTTCTAAGACATTCAGCAAATTAAGGTGATAATATATGTAAACTGCTTCTTTAGGTTCCCACAGCTGGCCTAAAAAATAATTGCTTTAAACTAGTGTCTACCAATTAACCATGGGAAGTGTCCACTGGGGTCTGTATCGTGAGCTGGAATACTACGGGTCAGTCGGTGCCATGTTTTGTAGGAGCCATCATCAGAGCCAAAGGTGGTCTAATATGAAAAGGGAAGTCCATTTGTCCATTTAAGAACAGATTGTCATTTGAAGGAGGAGGATGTGGTTTCTTGTTGCCAGAAAAAGAAACATTTGGCTCTTTTTGTGCTTTTGTTTGCATCTTTAGCCACCAACTGTTCCTTCCTATTCTGTTTTTAACAGCCACATAAGCCAGTCTTCTTTGTGTATATATGCTGACGTTCACTTTCAGACTGTAATTTGGGCATGGTTAAGCTAAAATGCCTCTTCAGGAAATGAATTGCTGTTGGAGTAAAGCAGTGGCATCAGCTTTTCTCTTTGGTGTCTCATTTTCAGCCTGTGTTTCTCCCTCTGTGTATGTTTGGCACTGACGATCTCATGCAGAGCTTTTTTTGTGTGATTTCCCAACAGCTTGAGTTGTGGTTCTGACTCATTAGCTTCCTGCGCTGCCACACTGAGCCTCATCAATTGTAACCTCCAGCACAAAAGAGCTGCTTTCTACCTACCTGGCGATTATGGCTCTTTCCCCAGTAATACAACCTAAAAACTGTGTGACTTTGCTCGCTGCAGGGATTTTGACTGTGATTCCCTCAATTTTTGTCATTAAAGTTCTATCAGAAATCTATCCTTGAAGCATGTCTGGTGGAGTACAGCAGCAGCACCACGTGCACATTCATCAGGTTTCCAGAAATGACTCCAAATGAAAATTCATGTTTCTCTCTGCTTGCTGGATGCATAAATAGGCAACAGTTTGCTATTGCCATATTAACTTTATAAAGCAATAATTTGTCTGTGTTGTTTTTAGAGCTTGTTGTCCTGCCCCCACGTGCAAATTCTCTTTTAATGCAGGTCTAATTTCACGTAACCTGCTTTAACGTAATATTAGTCACATAATTTTTTTCACACAAAACATACTGTATAATGTATGTAACTGTAATAAGTTATGTGTAATTACAGTCTGTACATATGATGTGAAATAAAAAGCGACACTTTTTAAACATCTCAAGAGTTAATATCTTATGGAAATTGAATAATTACAAAAGTAGCTCAAAATTGTCCTTGAGTGAATGTTACTTTCCACTTCTGTTTACTAGTGAACAAATGCCAGATAACGATGCTTGAGTGCCACTCTAAAATCCACTATCTGCAAAGTTAATGAGATCTCATACAGTAAAGACAGCAGTCCTTCAAGTGTGCTGAGCTCCAGCTAATGAGCTCTGCTGCAGCAGCTGTAGGTGTGTGTGTGTGTGTGTGTGTGTGTGTGTGTGTGTGTGTGTCATTGGTTTGGGACTCTTTGAAGGTTGTCGCCAGGCCCCACGTGGTTCCTACAAGAGGTAATGAAATGATGCTCTGCCACCATGCCCCTCAAACCCTGATGATACACACACTGGCCGTCACGGAGCCACGCCTCACCTCTTCTTTCCACTTTCATACAGACACGTGCACTGACACTGATAAAAAAAAACTAGGTTAACATAGTTATTTCTGCTGTAGGGCATACAGCTTACAAAGCAGGAGAACCTGCTTCTGGACAAACTGTATCACAGACACACTCACATTAAATAGTACAATAAAACTAAGTGATTATTTAGTAAAGACCTGGAACAATTCTTTAGTGCGGTCATACATTATCTACTGTAACAGGCTCATGAGCAAAGGCCAACATGACTTAATAAGGTGAAAATAACTTTTCCTCAAACTGTATTTCTGATTTTACTGCAGGTTTTATCACAACTATCTTGTACAGTTTGTCTAAAGTGCTTCCAATAAAGGACCAGATTGTACTCAAATGTCTAAAAAAAACAAAAAAAAAACAAAAAAAAAGAATCACTTGGATGAATTCCTGCCCCCACAAAGAGCACTCATATTACTCATCCCCCACAGAGCCGCCTTGCTCTAGTGTATTGTGGGAGGACTGGGGTGGGTGGCTGTGCAGGGGATTGGGAGCTGCTCTATACGACCACATGACTTCAGCTTGCATGAAACATATCTACGCAATGTTTCCTCACCTCCCCTTCACACTAAGTAGCTTCTGTTTCACCTCAATGTGTGTGTGTATACTTCAAAACTAATCAGGAAAGCCAGCGTGGTGGAACCCAGACATCTTGTTTGTCCTATGAGATTTACCCGCACCTCACCTTCAGAGCCACACACACATACTCCCACACACACAGAGTGAAGGTCTTGTGCTTGTCCCAGGTGCAGAGAAATCTGTGAAGCAGCATGTGGCTTGTCCCAGTTCCTCTACAGTACCTGTGTCTTTGTGTGTGTGATTGCATACTGCGACAAGACTGACCCATTTGAATCTTAATACAAGCGCTCACTGATGCATTCCTGAAACTAGCTCAACGTGGAGGCTAGACTGGATATAACATGCCTCAAAGTAGCGGTAGGTGCAGATTGATGCTGAGGTCAAAGGGCATGCTGGGAAAAATGAAAACAAGCCTTTAAATTTAAAAAACAAATAAACTGAGTTGTGTTGTTAAAGACTTCATAAGGAAGGTCAACACCTGAGATGAGTGTTAAGAAGATGAACAGGCCTACACATTCTGCATCCTCTTTTTTTCCAGCTTTTGCAGAGATGTGACTCTGTTTAAGTCATTTCAAAGCAGTGCATGTCTAATCCGTGTCCTGACCAAAGCAGGTGTGTGCAGAGAAGGAGAAGCAGAAAGCAGAGACAGAGAGGCAAGGCAGAGAGAGGAGGAGAGAGGGAGGACAGTTTCTTTCGCTGGATGCAACTACAAGCAGCAGCTCGGGTCCGGACAAGAGGCGACCGGGGTTTGGAATGAAGGTGTACGTGTGCGTGCGCCGTGCGTGTGGCGGAGAGACTGCGGGACCAGGAGAGAGGCTCACCACTTCCCTCCCCTCTGCGCCGCTCTGCCCTGTGTGTCGCCGCCGACTCCTCCTTCTCCCCGGCACATAGGCATCTGGCGTGGTGCGATGGGAAGAGGTTAGAAGTATGGCATGCAGAGATGCTTTCTGGCAAGAAGAAGGAGATGGTGACAGCGATGCGCCCCGCTTCTGCTCGGACCCTCTTCTACTTTATGTGCTTGGCGACTTGGTGAGTCACAGTATGAGCTGAACCCTCCTGCTCGGCTCAGTCCGACACTAATGATGCTTCTGTTTTAAGCCCTGAAGTTCAGCTATTCCGTTTGTTTATTTTGTTTGTTTGTTTTGCTTTCTAGTGTAAAGGAAATTTCTGCACAGACAGGGACAAATGAAGAGATATATCTGAATATTACTGGCATTTTAAACACACTTCTGAAGAGCTATGACAACAGGCTGCGACCTGGATTCGGAGGTATGTAGAAAAGAAATGCGATCTTTAGACAACTGATGTGCGCAAACATTGTCTATATGTAAAACACGCTCAGCAATCCCAGAAACATCTTTCAATGAAAAGAAAGCAAAGGCTAATTTATCTTTTATTCTACTTTTGTATATGGGAGTGAAACACACCATAAAGTGCTTTAATGCAGCATTAAACCTATTAACCATAGAACACTTTAAATCTTCTCAATATTATATATTTATTTACTTATTATTTATTCTATAGGAGGTAAGAAAAAAGTGCAATCGCCCTAAACTCACCAGTGAGCACCAAAACGTAATATAAATCAAGTCAGTTTTTTGTAATGCCTAAAATTAAAAATCACAAATCTGCTTCAAAGAGCGTTACCATCTTCCAGTTTGTGTAAGGAAAAGGAAAAGCAACAGAAGAGGGATTCTTCCTCCAAGACATCCAGCGCTGTGGTTGTACCAGTCGACCTCTCTCTGTGTGGGTGACTTGTATTATTGTACAGCATGTGACGTGTTGCCTAAGGACAAGTGTTTGACAACACACCCGACGCTTGTCCCTGTGCGTCTAGCCCAGTAGATTTTCCTCCTGAAGCGCGGAACCAGCGCGTGTACGTTTAAACCAGCGCAGTTATGTAAACCTGTGTATGTTGACGGGAAAAGGCTGAATGCACAGTGCTAAAAGTAGGACTATTGATTTGGTTTTTGTGCATCATGCCTGCAAGTAGGACATGCTACTAGAATTACTCTAAAAGAGATGCCTTGTTTTGACTGTGTAAAGAAGCTTGAACAACAGAAATGTGCGGGTATTGGTGCCTAATGTGCTTATCTCTGTACTTATAAGTAACACCAGTCTCCCTTCATATTTATTCACAGGATTATGTTTTTACATCTTTTAGGCTATTTTTAAATTTCCCTTATGCAGAGGCACTACAGCTCTGGACGAAATAAGCTACTGCATGTGCTTAGAGTATGATCCTGATGGACTGTAGGCATATAAAGACAGTTTATAGACGAGTGTGAATAAGACTGGTGCCTCTCTATGTCTCATAGTGCAACATGGAAGGATTTAAAACAGGAGACTGATTAAAACGCTTTTTTGTTCCATTAGGTCCTGCGACTGAGGTCAAGACTGATATTCGTGTCACAAGTTTTGGGCCTGTCTCAGATGTTGAAATGGTATGTACCCAAATCATTGGCATAAACAAATAGCAATTTATATATTTGTTATATTAATATTGCTACGACATACATGCACTCTATGTTCACACAGTTTTGTTTTAAATGTGGAGTTTGCAGAGGATAAAGAAAAAGTATTGCTCTAGCTGGGAAACACACCCTTACTATTTTATATTTATGTGGAAAACAAATAGTTTTTCTACTTATCTTTTCTTCAACTTTAATGCAGAAAATCATGAAGCACTATCAGCCTACCCACCAATTAACCAGCTCCATATGTTTTTCTCTTAGGAGTACACAGTGGACATGTTCTTTCGTCAGACATGGGAGGACTCTAGGCTGAGGCACAATTTGACAAATGAGACTTTAAGGCTAAACAACCTGATGGCGAATAAGGTGTGGACACCGGACACCTTTTTCAGGAACGGCAAGAAGTCAGTGGCTCATAATATAACAGCCCCCAACAAGCTTTTCCGCATCATGAGCAATGGCACTGTTCTTTACAGCATGAGGTACTATAGTATACTTAACTCTACAACCAAATATAATCTATTAATATTAAACAGTGGATGGGATACCAGAATGTTAGCCTACCCTGGATCACATAGTTTGTTCAGTAATGATGTTTTCTGCCATTTTACACATGCTACAGGTAATTTGTGATCTAATTTAACATAATTTGTATTCTGTATTGTGTGTTCTCATTAAAAAGCATGGGAGAAGAGAGAGAAGGAAGACTGTATAATTTAAAGCAATCAAGCAGAATTGCTATATCAAACTTAGTCTTACAGTGTAAAAAAACACATGGCTGTGCAGAGGCAGCCAAACCTTTATATATTCAGTATAGCTGTCAAGTAACTGCTAATTTGCCTTTTTAGAGAAAAGGTTTGGTATAAGTAAATCATTAATGTTTTCAACATCAGTGATATGTCTTTATATCAGAAGTAAAATGCTAGCAGCTATCACAGGCCATCAGTCCTTCCATCAGGAATAGTATGCAGTGAAACCCACCCCCCTTTGTTAAACAGTACTAAGCAACTGGCAAATCAATTACCAAAACTTTGGTGTACCTGACTTGCAAAAACCCACCATGAATGTGTGTGCATGTGATTATTTGGTCCTATACTGAGCTTCTCTTCTTTGTACTGCAACAGGTTGACTATTGTCGCTGAGTGTCCTATGAGGCTCATGGACTTCCCCATGGATGGACATATATGTCCCCTCCGGTTTGGAAGCTGTAAGTCCTGCATATGTGTAAATAAACCAGACAAACATACAGATAGAAAGTGAGATGGAGAGAGAGTACTGTCAGTACACATTTTTATGTTCCAAAATAATGGCACAAATTAACTGACACAAATTTAGGTAATCTTCTTTTTATTGTGCGCTGGCTCTTTAAATGGTAGGTAAGGGCTCAACAACCAGATGTTTGCTGATTTGCTCTGACAGGACAATATAAAACAGGTGTGCACTTGGAACCAGCTGGTGGCTAATACATCTGTGTTGCCCCCAGTACTGCTGCAGTGCCTCTGAACAAGGAAGTCAAACCTAATTTGCTCCAAAAACACAAAATAATTTCAGAGCCTGACCTCTGGCCGTTTTACAGAATCATATAGGTTTAGTAGTCATGCAAGTTTATATAGGAAAGCAATGCAACAGGTGCCATTTACTGTACACCTGTATGTTCATGTTGCTGTACAAAGGTTTTCAAAGGAATTCCACATAGTATTTCATTCATTTATGACTCATTTTCACACTGAAGCTTTGTACTTGAGTCATTTCCCAAATAGCAGTAAACAAATAAACCCAATGCTGATAAGACTGGCACCCTCAATAATGAATTTTGCTAACCTGGTGTTGTTTCACAGGAGACCTGCTCCTTTCCATTACAAAACAGGAGGGAGCACAATTTTCATTTGTGACTTCAGTGAAGTTTTATTTTATAGAACCCACTCTTATACTCTCATGCCTTTATAATAATGCTAAGCCTAATAATGATGATAATAACAACAACAATAATAATAATAATAATAATAATAATGACTATAGCTGGGTGTCATCTGCATAAAAATTTACATTTATTTTATACTGATGAATAATGTTCCCAGGAGGAAACATTCTTATTGAAAATGGTAAATATAAATGTGGAAACAGCTGGAATGGCTATGTCCAAAATGAAAAAATCTGCCTATCAGCACCTCAAAAGTTTACTGATTTACAGCAAAATGACAAGTTACGAGTTGTTTTCACCTGTTTCATGTCTTAAAACTAAGCTAAGATAACCAGCTACTGAGGGTTAACTTAATTTCTTAAAGGCCTTTTCAGACATGCACTGGAGCCCTGAAATTATCTAGGCATAACTCGGAGGAGCTGTGTGTGTGAATGCAAATGTCTGAGTCAGTCGACCTGGATCTTAAGTGGACTTTACTCTGCCCACTCCCTAGTACAAAGTTTGCGTAAGGTCCAAGTGGGCTGGAGTGAGCCCATGTGAGAATACAGCAACGTGTTGTCTGGAGTATTCACACGGAGTTAGTGGGTGTGTTGATAACGTTCTATCATGTGACTGGCATGAACCCGAAAGAACACAGATAGATGATGGTGAAGAAGAATAGTGAAGGTGTCAACAAAAATATCTAATTGGAAACACAATGTGGTCAGGAACTTCTGTCGTTAAAAGCTGGCTCCAGAATCGTCAGATTAATTTAAGGAATGGCAAGAGGCTGTTTATGACCAAATTACAGACTAACTAACTAACTACTAACTAATATGACTGCGTCATGTCCTGCCCCTGTCCCCAGGTTCCACCCCACCCCCCCGATCCTGGCATAAACCGACCAGTAGGTGAGAACGTGTCTGACATGGGCTATCTCCTGCTACATATTTAAAAGGGCAACTTCTGGACAAAGTCCAGGACTGATTTCATAGACATAGTCAGGAGTTCATGTGTGAAAATACAGTATGAGCAGACATGAGAATGGTATCAATGGTATCTACTAGTGTAACTCTCAGTGAGAAAGTGCAAACTATTCTTTGAACACTGTTGGAAGTAATTATTGTTCATCTCAGTCAAGTGTTTTGGCTGCTATGCATTTATGACTAGTTTGAGAAAGATAGTTTTATTTACAAGTGTATGTAAAATATAATTTTAGGAAGGTAAGGAAGTCAGACCAAAAGTCTGTTCTGACTTGTCTGAAAGCATTTTTTTGTATTGAAGCTCAGTCCTCTGCTGAGTAGCTGAGCATAAAGTGACTGAATGCTAAAACTAAATAATGAAGCATTTCATTCTTCATTGTGAACAGTGAAACCCTAACTCAGCATCAGTGTTAAAGTGGCCTACCTGTCAGCAGAAATGACTTATCTCAAATAAAGGAGTTTCTCAAATAGAGCAGCTCCATCTTATCAGAGAAGAGCAGGGATTTGAAGATTACTTCTCCAAAAGAAAAGGAAGGAGAAGACAAAGGCTTTGTTTTTAAACTCATCCAAACTGCCGTCAGTTACCCAGCGTGGTGACATTGCAGAGGACAAATGAATTTCTCTGTTTTACTGCCATCCTTCTCTCCTCTCCTCATCCTGCTTCTTCTGCCATTCTGCTCTGCTGCTGCTAGCCTCCAGTCAGGAGGAAGTGACCATGGCTCTGATGTGGCCTGAAGCAAAGGAAAGGTCAGAGTCCCTTCCTCTGCCTCAGGTTAGCACAGACCTATGCAGCTATTTTCCATAGCTGGTGTGTGTGTGTGTGTGTGTTAATGTTCTCGCCGTCTGCCCTGCCTTCACTTCTTCCTCCATCACTCTTTTTCTTTCCCTCTCTTTTTCTCCTTTCTGCTTCTCCATCTGGACTTGTGTGCACAGGCATTGCGTTCCACTCCATGACACACTAGAGTCATTTCATTTTGGCAGCACAGTTGGCATCCTGCTGATGTGGAGTCCCATAGGGAGTGGCAAGCTAAGATAACTGGCATTTTTTAGTTATGTCCAGCTTCACCAGAGTAATACAGAGAGGCACTGTTGAGGAAGCAACAGCAGGAAATAAAAGAACATTTTATGAGTTAAAGTTAGATGTTAATATGATGCTTTAGTGAGTGAAATACAACAGCTGGGAGCTCTGTGACTCCATCACACTCTCTTGTTTTCAGTGGATATAAAGAATGAGTGGATCTCAGGCGTCATCTTATTTTTTTCTATTATGAAATAAAAGCTATAATTCAGTCAGTGCTAATTCAGTGCCATATGATAAAAGAGCCTCCTTGGCAAACAACTACAAAAAATTAAAACCATTGTTAATTTACTATTCGACACTGAGCTTGTAGCCCTAATAATATAATCAGTCAGCGGAAAGTTTTAGTATCCTCTTATGGACACTAAAACACTCACTGAACGGTCGAGTGAGAACTGTCATTATAAGCAACACTTTTCAGATACAAGTAGTCATGTGATCCATTGTTAGAATAAAAATACTGATTATAGCTGCTTTAAATATTAGATATAAAATGTGCACATTTTAGTCAAACAGCAACATTTACAAAACATTTCAATCTGAAAATACATGTACTGTATGTAAGAATATGTGTAATGTATATAGCATACATGCAAAAACAAGGACAGTATTTGGAAAGCTTGGCAGCTATGCAAACATAACCACAATCTACATCTTGACTTGTTTTTTGTACTGCACTCCTGACAACTCACAGTAAGTGACTCATTTTGGTGTGGCTGTGCTGTCTGCCCACAGATGCCTATCCTGTAACAGAAATGATCTATACATGGACCAACGGACCTCAGAATTCAGTGGAGGTCCCCCCTAATTGCTCCCGTCTTGTTCAGTATGACCTTTTCAATGCGACGGTCTCCAGTGAAACAATTACATCCTGCACAGGTGAGACTTGTCCTTTTTTGAGCCATCAGCTGAATTATATTGAATGCTCAGAACTTAAATGGCTGCTGTTAAAAAACATAAAACCTGCTTTTTTATTGAAAGAAAGGATGTTCAGGTGTCTGTGTGTTTTTTTTTTCTTTTCAAATTTTGTGTATTTGCAGAGCCTATGCTGTATTTTTCATGCAAAAGACAATGGTATATATTGTACAAATGCAGCTCTGGTGGTAGATACTGGACAGATTTGGCTCTTTAACTCTGGCCGACATGACAGTCAGTCTACAGGATCATAACTAGCTGACATTACCGGTCTCAGAGACTCAAACACTGTCAACAGTATGAACTGAGGCATTTTTGAGGGCCTCATGGCTCACATAAATTTAGAAACCATAGCATGCAATGGATGTCATGTGTAGAGTCTGGTGATAATGGATAGGGGCCTTTAAAACGTAGACGACCATGAAAAATTATCATATAAAATATGACATTTAACGTCAGTTTCAAGCTACATTAACTGAAACCTGTCAGCCTGCAGCTTTAAATTCTTTATGAATCAAACTAATTTATTTCTGTTGATCCTCCAGGTGAATATGTGGTGATGACGGTCTACTTCCCTTTGAAACGTAAAATAGGCTACTTCATGATCCAAACATATATCCCCTGCATAATGACAGTAATCCTCTCTCAAGTGTCCTTCTGGATAAATAAAGAATCAGTGCCAGCACGCACAGTCTTCGGTATGTAGACCTCACACATCCCTCATCTTTCACAGCCTTTCTGCTCCTCTCCATTTATTTACTTGATGCTTGCATGCCCACAGAGCAATCAGAGCCTGAGTGTCTCTTCACTCTGCACAACAAGGTGACGTTGCAGTGTGTGGTGATTATGGGATCATATTTTTTTTTACCTGAGGATTTTAACAAGAAATGCAAATTCACTGCTACTGGTTTCCAAGTAGGACTATAGACATCTTTCCCCATCTTACTGTATTCCAGTGAATAACTACATTTTATTTTTAACTATGGATGACATATAATAATAACAGAGAGAGAGAGAGAGATTAGATTTTGACAAGTGACTGCATTATGGACCATTTCCACATTACTGTTACTTTCAGTTTTTTGGCCTCTGACCCAGTTGTACTCTTCCAGGCTCCCATTGTACATTGTTTGGCTCTCTGTCCTAAAAAAAACTGATTAATGTGTGTCAATAGAGAGGAACACACACAGAGATGCTCAAACTGGACCAGTGTAGATGGGATTTGTTGTTTTATTAAGGGACCTTTAACTCTGATAGTCAGTGGCTCATGTTCCTCCACTTGATGGAAAGTCGCTCACAGATAATTACATTGACAGTTGGCCTCCATTTTGAAAGAGAAAGAAAAACATGAGCGTCAGTGTTTGTTAATGATTCCCAGAACAGCTACAGTATGAGACTTTGTATGATGAAGGTTGTGTTACTAAAGGGTTTTGTTACTGAACTATCATTCGGTATTATTTATTGAATATTATTGGCTTTTCATGTTGTGTTTACCTTGATTCTGTTTGTGAAAATGTCTATCAGTGATTAATTAGTAATTTACTAAAGCATTGTAGATCAGTTAAGAGCTGTCAAAAGTGCTGCAGTTTTGTTCTTTTTTGGGTCCCTGTGTTTGAAAAATCCCCTGTAATGTACTGTAATGCAATGTAAGAGGCATGTTGTTGGCCTGCAGCAGCAATCATTCAGTCTGTGACAACATACTGAATCAGTAATAGTGACCACCAAACAATAAACTTCCCTAGTGGAAGAAGCAGTTTGTCAGGATAACTAGGAGGAGACAGTTGGACCTGACACTCAAATCACATAGCGGACATATTCCTTTATCTTCAGGCAATAACAAAATAAATAAATAAAATAAAATAAATGAAAATAACAGGAACACCGTGTGGCCATGAATTACCATAAAAAAGATTTCAGTTTTTGAACATAATACTTTAAAGAAGTTAAAGTACAATTATAATTTTACAATACTTTTACAGATATTTGCTGTTTACCATTTCATGGTCTGAAGACTTCCCAGCATGCATTGTGTGAGAGTGTAAACTCTTCAGTTACTCTTTTTTGTCAGTCTGAAGGATCCATTCATGGTGGAAACTTGCTGTGTGTCTGTAATACATATTAAATTAAATCATGGTTGATATTTTTCATAATATAAAAAAATGATGCAAACCATGATGAAAGGTTAGTATTGTCTACTTTGTACACAGTATTTAACAAAGCCGCTGGAGTAGGTTGTGTGCTGTCTTTGTACTTTGTTGGCACGAAATGGCTCCATCTATAAGCTGACTGTTATATTTAATGAGGAACCCAGTCATTGTTATTTAAATTATTTTATTTACATTGTAAAATCCATGTATACGGGCTGTGATTCCAAGTTCTGACTGCTCTTCGTTTCTTAGTGTTTAAGTGTGCAGTACGAAGAAAACTCTTAACGGGTCGGAAGTTTTTAAAACATCATGATTTAATTTTACAGGAGAAAAGACTTTAAGGGTATTGATTGTTGCCCATCTCAGTTAAGTGTAGCACACAGCCGTGTCCTGGCTGTTTCTGCAAGATGTGTCACAACAATGGAATTCCGCCCCACTGCGTAGTCAGTTTGGACTTTTGGCACCCAGCTTTTCCAACTGTTTCTTCAGGGATCAGGTTCTTGTCAATCTTGTCATTTTGTGGAGGTAAAAATGAAAGTTGGTATAAAGATCTAATTAAGTGAGGGCTAGCTCAACTGTAGCACTTCAATCAAAATGATGTCTGAGGAAAAATGGTAATTATTTACATATATACAAATACCCAAATGCATTTTAATTACAGTACATAAGATTTTTCTGATATCATTGATTCTTATCACCATTAGTTCCAGGTTAGGAACAAAACCCTTTACAGTATATCCAGTATATCCATCAAACATTTCAGTTTATATACAGCTTTATATTAGAGGTTACTGTCCTCTTTCTGTGGCCTTAAGCTGTGGTTCACCTATCAATGTCATCCAACTGCTTTTGATTGACAGGTAATTATATGGTGGTCACATCCAGGAACCGCGGACGAATTTATGTTTGGCAAGGACTCTGCAGCACAGGCTGTTCTAGATTGACAACTTAAAGGCGATTTTCTCCCAATCACATTATTGCTATTGGTCAATGATACTAAGGACATGATAAGGTACAAGCTTATACTGTACCTTCTATTATTTGGCTTGCTGGCCAGGTTGGTGCCCTGTTTTATTTTTATGGTATTTCTCTTTTTTTGTACAGAGATGAGTGAATGAGGACCATTTGACATTCAGCCCCATGATGGATTCAGTGTTCTTTAGTACTGTGCTGAATAAACTCTAAAAAGGTTAGCTAGTTAGCCTGATTACCTCTAGCTGACTTTCCATATGTAATATGGGGAAGATTTTTGTCAAGATGAACAAGGTTGTTTAAATCTGTTAATCACTATGTTAATTGGGGTGATCCAGATTGTTCACATTGATAGGACTCATGGAAAACTCAGTACTGTGACACAAATACTACTACAGTATGATGAAATTCTAGCTGAGACTCTGCTGATTCATTTGGGTGTCAAGCGATGAGCTACAGCCTGAAAAAACTGCCATTAGTGAAATTTTATTTTTATTGAAAAACTTTCAAACTAAAAAAAATATCAGTGTGATTTTAAATGCTAGGGCTATGTTAGCGTGGCCAAGGAATCACATTATGAGGGTCAAACTATCATGGGAATATTTCTTTTAGGTGGAATGCCATTATGGAGACGCTGAGCTGCCTTGGTGGAGAGTTGCACTCTCTGAGTATGGTCTGTTCTTGACAATGGATTAAATTATTATGTGTAACATTAAAGGGGTTGCTTGTAGTGATGAAGCCACAAAAATTATCACCTGACTGGCAGTTCCCCTCAGCTCTTTGGAACTTTTAGCATTTTTCAGCTCATTGTTTTGGTTACTCAACAACCTTACTTTTATCAGCTAAAAGTGAGACTTTTAACTTACTCATTATTCCTCTTTTAGTTCTGTTTTGATCTCCACCAACTCCTGAGTGAAATATCTGTATGTTTAGCTGCTAAATATCCACATTTTTCACCAGCTAGTTGCTAATTTTCTTTATCTGTTCATTTGATGCTGACCAGGTAGGTGTTGTCAGTAGGAAACATCTGATACAGTGTGCTACCTGCAGCTTCAAATGACTGACAGAATAAGTTAACAACAAGCTGGTGAACATAATGGATCATTTAGAAGCTAAAGAGCCAAATATTTCCTTAAGGAGCTGATGTAGACCAAAACAGAGAAAAAAAGAGACTCAATATTAAGCTAACATGTAACAGGTAGCGCAAAATACACTTCAAATGAATACTAATGGTTCTTTGTGTCTGCTGGATATGTAAATAGTCAGCTTTTTGTTAGACATGCAGTTTTATAAGGTGATAATATGACAATGTTGTGTTTACACTTGTTACATTGCCCGCAAGTGACCAAACAAAAGTTTATACTTCTCTGGTTTTAGAGAGCCAAACCTATTTGGTTTGCCATCAGTTAATGAAATATGCGAATGTACACAGGCTATTGAACACTGCAAATGTTCACTAACACCATTCACATGAAGAGAGTACTTTTCAGTATTTCATTCTATAAGTGATTTGCATTGACAAGTATTACAATAATTTTTTTTTTTACATAAATGTAACTATACTTACCCCATACAGCTAAATATGAAACAATGCTGACTCAGCTGATTGATATTGTTGTCTTTTCTTTACCACTGAAGGTATCACCACAGTCCTAACCATGACAACACTCAGTATCAGCGCTCGCCACTCTCTCCCTAAGGTCTCATATGCCACTGCGATGGACTGGTTCATCGCTGTCTGCTTCGCCTTCGTCTTCTCTGCCCTCATTGAGTTTGCTGCTGTAAATTACTTCACCGCAAGACAGACCAAAAAGAAGCTGGCCAAATGTCCCCCTGTACCCCAAACCACGCCTGTCAAGGTCAAGGACACAGAGGAAGTGCTGCAGGTGATTTTTGTTTCCCTCAAAGTAGACCCGCCTCAAATAATCTAATAGCATTTTACTTCAAGGAGCACTTACACAGCATGTCACTTATTATGTGCTTACTGTATCTGGCCTTTAGATTTATTAATGACCAGGACTGGGCCTGCCTGAGGGCCATCAGCTGTGCTCTTACTCAAAGTGATGAGAGGATCGGAAATGTAAAGAAAGCAGTCCATTTTATGCCAGGACGTGTTTAGACTTCCATATATTGCCAGGCTTGTCAAATTGAACTGAAATGAAAATGTTATCATTTTTAGCACTGCAAATGTGAACATGCTTAAATCCCAGATGTCTGTTCTAAATCTAAAAATGTAGCTCAGATGTTTTCACAGCAAACATCAAACAGGGCACTAGACTATAATAAACTGGCACACACAATCGCTACTTTATGATCATTGTTTTAGGCATTTTACATTTCCCACAAATTATGTATTGATTATGTCAAAAACTATAATAATTGTTCTCAGACTGTCACTGTCTATTTTTTTTTAACCTGGATGCACAGATAATTGTTCAGTCAACCTCAGGTTGACATGCTGAACTAAGTGCTTGTTAAATGTGTTAAAGGAAGTGAACAATAGATTATAGATTTAAACTCTTCCATAGCTCTTGCATGTAAGTCAGCCTAGACAGATTTAGCTTTTGTTCAGTAGATAATTTGTTGACTCTGGTTTGGATAAGATAGAGATAATATGAAAATGAAAAAAATAATTCTGTAAATAGTTCCACAACCACAGAACAGATGTTTTTGCTAATCACAGAATGTTTCTCAGGCTTAGTGTTTGCTGTGGAGCCTTGATTCTGAAATTCTACATTGATAAAATGACATAATCTGCAAGTTAAAACAAATTACATAACATCATGATCAGTGACATCCAGCATGTGGACTGACTTATGAATATGCCATGGCGCTGTTTTAGAGCTTTTAGTCTGCATGTGGACTGACTTATGAATATGCCAGAGCTTTTAGTCAGATGTGGTGAATGTGCTACAAATCATATAGGGCTAACTGTAGGAATGTGTTTCTGGTGGCGTATAAGAACTGTGTTAGATAAGGGATGGAGCATATTTCCTTGTTATGTCTTTCTAAACAAATACAGTGAAATATATACACTGATCAGCAATAACATTATGACCACCTGCCTTGTACTGTGTACATGGGAGGCAGTTGGTTGTCACCTGTGTCACTCTGCAGCTCACTGTGCATCCTCTGTTTCCATAGTTCTACTGTCAGGAAGAGCATAAGTGTGTTGGCCATTCAGTAAAAACCATATGTGAAAGAAGTGAAAACTGTGGTCGGAGGATGAGTTTTTAGACACATTCAACAGCCTCACCACTCTAGGTATCACCACTATAGCCACTGAATGTTTCTCTTCCTAGAGACCACTGTACAGTATTTTCAACCATTTTAACAAAGGTTCAAACTAAATGGAATCTTTTGAAAAGGATGAATGAAATTTAAAAGTTTAATCTACAGTAGGTCGACCTCATCAGTGAGCCTTGGGTGTTCATGACCCTGTAGCCAGTTCACTGTTTATTTTTCCTTAGACCACTGTTGGTAGGTACTAACCACTGCAGACCAGGAACACCTAACAAGACCTGCAGTCTGTGAGATGCTCTGACCCAGTCATCAGCCGTCACAGTTTGGTCCTTGCCAAAGTCACTCAGATCCTTACACTTGCCTGTTTTTATTGCTTTTCCAACACCTCAACATCTGACTGTTCACTTGCTGACTACCCCACACACTGACAGGTGCCACTGTAACAAGATAGTCAGCGTTGTTCACTTCACCTGTCAGTGGTCATATTGTCATGGCTGATCAGTGGGAATCTACTGTTAACTGATCTTTGAAGCTGACATAACTCAGCAATACATATGTCAGTTTTACACTAATTACTTTTAGTTGTCCCCTCCAGTCCAAATCCTAGTGTGGCATAATCAACCCTGAACGTGGTATAGTGACAAAGGCACTTCAGTAGATTAGTGGGTTGCCATGGCAACATGGCCTGGGTGCAGCTGTATAGGTTTCAGAAAGGCTCTGGCAATGGGGGGAAAATTAATACTCTTTACCTTGAAAGCAAGTGTCGTTGGTGTGACCATGGGGACCTGGCATGATTGTCAGGGTGTGTTGATGGTTCTAGCAAAGCAAACCTTGCTAGACACACACACACCTCCTTTACTGAACATGAGACAGAGTGACACTGGATTGTTTCAGATTCACTGATGTGGATTATTCCTGCAAATGCCTTAGTATCAGCATCACATTCTTGCTGCTTCAAAACATCAGCTCTCAAAGGATAAGCTTTTTTTAAGCTACACTGCATTACTGCCCCGATGCAGTGCTGCCTACTTTCTGTTATTAAGCTTGTGTGAAACCAATGAAATCCTCGGTAAATGACATCTGTGTTTCCACACATCGTCTGCTTCCAGATACAGGCCATCTGTGTCAGGGTGACTGTAATCAGATCAATATGACAGGGTTTTTGTTGCCTGACATGCTTTTCAGAGCAGAGACACAAGTGAGCCTGAACTTTCTGTTATTACTTTTACACATGTGAGGCCTATAAAGCCCCACATTTCAATAAAATGACTTTCTCAGGCCAACCTGATGTGCATAATACTGTCATTGAGTAAACAGGTCAGATTGGAATCAATATATTAAATATTTGGATGAGATATTGTGATATTTTTAATTTCTACTTCAATTGGATAGAAGAGTCTCTGAAACTTAAGTCAGATCAAGGGATGGAAATTAAATATATAGGTCTTTATATGTATGATCAGACACAAAAACATACTGGATTTGAGAGGCTGGTATTGATGTTGATATTTGAGAGAGATCTGATATTCATGTTTTCTTTTTTTAACATAAGGTTTATTTTAATATGGGTTTTAAAGTATTTATGTTATGACACGTTAATAGGCAAATAAACTTGTCCATGCTATCTGGTGAACTAACTACATAATGGAGACATGGTTTCTAAAGAATCTCAGATGATCTCAAACATATCATTAGTATATCTGTAATGCAAGTATTGCAATACTAGTCAAGCTTTCCATTCCCATACTCAGGAAGATTAAAGAAAGAAATTCTTTGTAAGTTTTGAAACAACCCTTGTTGGGTCAAATAAAGATCAGAGGACAGCTGTTGGCTTTAGCCTAATCTCTGATAAGCATTATGAACTAGCTCCCACACAGTGGGGAAAATGGTGAATGTGTTATCATGACTGGGGCTTTTGTGTAACCACACAATATCTAGTTGTGTGTGTATATCATATATTTGAAGGCCCAAGAAGTAGTCAGATGGACATGCTAATGATAGCAGCTTATGCTGGTGATTGCAGATAAATACAGTTTAATTAATTCTGTACATGTTTTTGGTTTTTGAAACACACACACACAACCACACAAACTCTTTGGATATTGGTTATCTATCTTAATAAAGCGTTGGTAGTTTTCATGAAGATATCAGTAAACTTCCCTATCAGTGCCTCTCAAATGTATAGCTACAGACGGGTGATGTACTAGAGGAAAACCCAGCATATATTGTCTCAATAAGGTGCTGGGTCACCATGTGCCACCAGAAAGGCCTCAGTGCAGCCTGGCATCGACTCTCCAAAGTCTCTGAACTCTACTGGAGGGATGAACACCATTCTTCCAAAAGATATTCCCTCACTGGGTGTTTTGAGGATGGCGGTGGAGATGCTGTCTAACACGTCGCTCCGTAATCTCCCATGTGTGTTCAACTGGGCTGATATCTGGTGACTGTGAAGGCCACAGCATCTGATTCACATCATTTTCATATTAATCAAAACATTTATTGACCCCCTCATTCCCTGCAGTTGGGGACATTGTCATCTCGGGAAAGACCACCCATTTATTTAGGATTGTCTTTTCATTTGTCACTGTCAGTATGTTTTTTTCCTCTGTCATAGCAAAATCCTGATACCAACGGTAACCTGAGAAAGCGGGTGAATCATGAAGAGTCGAGCAGTCACCCGAGAGCCCAGTCCACTACCAATATTTCGAGAGTAGGAAGAGCAAGACCGCTGCACCTTTTAGCCAGCAAAGCCAACAGCAGCTCCTCCATCCTCTCTCACTCGAGCCCCAAGTCTGAGAGCCGGCTCAGTGTTGCCTCCTTCTCTGTCCATCTGGTGAATAGTACTCCCCAGGCTGCAGCTTCCACGCCAGATATAATGGCAGACACGCCGTGTAAGCAGAACACCGCCTCCTTGTCTCTGCAGCACCTGTTGGGGCCCAAGCTAGAACGCATCCAGATGATGGCGAACAAGGTGGAGCAAAAGCAGACGCTGTGCTCCCAGCCCACCACTGCTGGTATGGGTGAAACCAGCAAAATTGACAAGTATGCACGGATCCTTTTCCCAGTGTCCTTTGGTGCATTTAACATGGTCTACTGGGTGGTTTACTTATCAAAGGACACAATGGTGGTGGCTAAGGGTGGATAAACTCTGGCAATACGAGTGAAGATCATTTCTTTTACCAGATGGGGAGCAGATAAAGACTGTGGGAGTTTGCAAACAATAAGACGAAACAGTTGTTCTTGGCAAACAAAGTGTACTCACTTCAAAATCCTGGAAAACAAACTCAGAATACATCTATATATTTCTTCCTAAGGTCCTTGAACAGCAAGTATGGGAGCAAATCAAACAAGAGAGAACACCTTCACACTGGAATATACCACTGTCCTCTTTATACGATATTGTGCTATGCCTGACTCTAAAGGTCTGTTGGCTTTAACTGCCTCATGATCTCTTTTGGCCTGCAATCAAGATAAAGCATTGGATTTTTTTTTCAGTTTCCTATTTTTGTATCCTGCAAGTGGCAAGATGTTCAGATGTGTGTACTACTGTCCTGAAATAAACTACAGCAACCCTGTAAATATATAGGTATATACATTTATTAGGATAAACTGATTTATATTTACAGTGTGCTTCCATTTGAATATTAAGACTTGTTGCTTTGGTGCCAGCAGGCTAGATGATACGGTGTTAAATGGTCTAAGTGTAGAAACAGTGGAGCGCTGGTAGTCATTTTCTGGTTTAAAGGGAAAAACTATAATTCCTGAACACCAAGTGATGTGAAACTAAAATGGAATAGATTTCGAAATAGGATTTGATCAGAATGAAAGTCCTCAACCCAGACAGAGTGGAGCTATCCACAGGACCTGATCAGCCATGAAAAACTTCTCTTGGACAGTACCTGCTTTCTTATACATGGAGGATTAAATAATCTGGAATTACTAAAGATGAAATTTGGAGATCAGTCAGGTAGAAAGTAGTAAAAATGAGCTATTAATTCTTGTAACAGTAGGATTTAAGCTTCTCTTATGTCAAACAGTAGGCAAAGATGTTGCCAGTGGTTAAAATACAGTCATATCATGAACAAACAGAGGGAACAGAAAGACAAGTCATTTATCAGTAGATCAGCAGCAGTTAAATAGTGAGATAACTGTTTAGAGGCATTTTGGATATACAGTCAAAGAATGTGACTGAACTGTTCGACAGCGGCTCCACAGGGAACAAACAGGAGCCAGGTTCTGTTAATCCACCTTATGCATAACACATGTGACTAAGAATAAACCTGTTTCTATATGCTTTTCAGTTTTAACACACTATACATTTTGCCACGGCATCTTATGGTGTTAGACCTGTCAAATTATTTCTGGATAAGGTGTAAAGAACAGTATTGAAGTAGCGGCCGACCACACCGGACATAGTTTGTGTTGAAGCCCAAAGTAGAGCTAAGCAGAGCACCCCACTAAATTACAGCATATACTTTTTTATTTCTGTGGGTAACACCAGAGTTAGCTGATGGGCAGCATGCATAAAAATCCTAATAAAGGTCTGAGTGCAGCACTGCCTCCAGCCCTGCTCTTCCTGTCAAGACTGTTTAAGAAATAGTTCAACTTTTTGCTGAGAATTGGATGATAAGGTCAAGACCTCTCTTACATGTGTACACTAAATGTAAATCTGCAGCCAGCAGTCATTTAGTTTAGCAGTAGCTTCAGTCCTGTGTATGTCTCTACACAGGATGTGTACAGCAGGCACTGTATGGAGTGTGGGTCACTAGTGTTTTTGCAACACTCAGAGCCTAATACATGATCAGACACACAATTAAAAAAACGAAAATGGCCTTGAAGAAGGAAAATTCACTGTGGGCATGTAAAACAAAAGGCATGTAGCCAGCTGGACAGATTAAAGCAGAAGTGTATGTGAGTCATTCATTGGCAACTGCACAAATTGGGCCTTAGAATTTTAAGATTTTTTATCATAACCAAACAGAGTTGGCTTGTTCTGCCCCATCAAAGTACAATAGGTAAACCAACTGAATGACAGGGCAGAAGATTTCAAAGTGATATGGCCAAAATTCTCTTTGTGGTCAAAGTTAGCATCACACTTACCATGCAGCTAAATGAGGAATTCATGTTTTTATACAAATCCATTTTGAAAATGTCATTAAAAAACTGTTTTCTCCATGTGTGTTAGTGCACACGAATGTGTGTAATGGTCAGAACGGACATGAAAAAATGACTATAGCTTAACAGAAAACAGTTAAAAATATTAAAATTGTAATTTGTACTTCAATTTAATTTAATTTAACTTCATGCTAACAAGTACACTTAAATGAATGTCTTCAGCCATTGGAAACAGTATTGACAGTTTTATGCTGCCTCGTCATTGCCTTTAAAATGTCGGGGACAAATTGAACAGTGTCCATGGAACGACCCATCTATGATTAAAATAGAGGAGAAATGACTGAATAATACATAACACCTCCTGTTGACAAGCTATAAAGCTCACTAATTATCTTGTTTTTTTTAACTGATACAAAACATAATAATGTAAAAAAAGACAAACTGTGGTTTTACAAGAGAAGCAGTGCCCACGGAGATTTGTGGTGTAGCAGGTGTCTAGTTTCTTGCTCTAATAGCCATGTCATCCAGGTAGTCAGGGTTGCTGGCCCTCGTCGATCGGTTAGTCTAACATGACTTATGATGCTGCGAGAACTGAAGGCTGATGGACAGATCAAGATGCCCGCCGCCACTCACCTCTCCTCAGTGCAGTCATGTGTGAAATTGAGTTTGCCATTATTACCTCCCTGGTGGTCCCTCACTCTCCATCCTCCTCTCTGTCTCTCACAAAAGTGTACAAGCTGTGTCTCATCATAAAAACACAGAACACACGTGCTAATGAGGACCCTGTCAACAACAGATTGACGTTCAGTGTATGTGCTGCTCTAAATGTGTGCATGATTGACAGAGCTTGCCAATGCCAGGTTGTGGGTTTTAGTGCCCCCCCAACACAAATCTGCTGTTCTAGATGACAGACTGAGAGTTCAGATAGCTCACTTTGCCATTTTGAAACATGTGGCAGGTTTGTGAAAATTTCAACCACATTCTGAAGTCAAGCTCTCAGTTAATCACTGCCATTGTCATTTCAGCTGTTTAAATGGTTTGAGAACATTGAAGTAGATTTTTCAAAAACTAGAATGGCTTTTAAATGGGGCATTCATTGTGCTTTTAGAACACTGTTGGCATAAACCAAGGCATGACGCGCCCTCTAGTGGGAGTACTGAACACAGTCTTATTTGAGGATGTACTCAACATGACTGTCACCACATCTGTAGTTGTGTCTGGCTGTAAGGCTGCAAGAAGTTTTGATTTTCAATAGTGTAGGAGATCCTGCACAGTACTGGTTCAGGACATTTTCCCACATTGCCTTAAGCTACGTACTGTTGGATTAAGCACACTGAAAAACAGGCAAATTTATAGCAGGGAAATAGAAATGAAGCATAAGAACAACACTTTATGATAGACTATTGGGAAGATTTTTTTAAATTAGAGGTTGAAAAGTTTGTTTCGTTTCAGAATTGGTATAATTCTCTGTTTTCTGCCAACATTTCCAAAGTTTCCTTTACTGTAAAATAATATAATTTAAAGATGATCTGATCTTGTTTTATGACATAGAGAGTAACTCCTCACCATCCTAACAAACCTCTGTGACTTTGACTTGTGTATTTCATATAAAGTTGAATGAAAGTATTGTATACAGTACATCTTGAAATGCAGTACAGCAACTGCGGTAAATACAGTGCAGCTGCATTCCATTAAAACAGCAATATAATCACTCTGTGTTAATTGGTTGTCAACAGACTGCTAATTAAATAAGATCAGATATGCACTGGTTTTGTTCTGTGTATGAGAACTGTGCAGGCATGATCACAGAAAATGTATACACTGAGACCCTACCTGTAAAGCATCAAGTAAAGAGTCTATAGTAATGCAGTTAATACAAGATTCAATTGTTCTCGTCTTTTGTTGAAGGATCATTATTTTTTCACACGCAGTATCCACAGTTGAAATTTGCCATATGCTGTCTAATCTTTGAAATGTTGTTTTTATTTAAAATGAGTTAACGGACAGTCTAAATATTTCAGTTTCATCTTGCCAGGTGAAAAGTAAAAGGCTGACCTGGCTGATGCACTGTGTGATATAAGACTGAATCACGAGTATCACGCTGTGCAGAAAACTATTCATTTCTATCTATTTCCACTAGAGGGAGCAAAATGCTGTGATTTGCTTCAGAGTCCAGACTACTTCAGGTGATCAGTATGAGCACACATGACAGAACAGGCTGCTTTGCATTCATTTTTGAGTCTTCTTGATTCTACTGTGAGAGATCTATGGGTAGCAAGTGCTCATGTTCTGATGGCAGAGGGTTCAGGGTCTCCAGCAAACTGAAGAATTAATGATTAATGTCACGAGTTTAATCATCCTCTCTCTAGAGACCAGCACAGTAACAATGTAGGTCTACACTCTTATCACTCATCTGTCTTCATAGCAGAGAGTCCTTCAGGCAAAAGCTTCCCAGTTGGGGGGGTGGGGGGGGGATCAGCGATTTAGGTATCTGTGGTTTATGACAGAAATGGGCTTCAGCCTTACTTAGACATTCATATACTCTGTATTATTGTTTTGGAAGAGCCACAAGACATTGTTTAACTCTGAACTCATATCACCAGTGTCTCCATTCATGCTTTAAGAGACATGCTGTGGTATATTTTTGTGCAATTAAACAACAACAACAACAACAACTCCTTTGTTTTACCTGATGCTGTATTTGTCACATTGGGAAATGATTTGCCTTTTGGCTCATCTCTCATGCAGCCCATGTTTCTGAGTGGTTTCATGTGTAATAAGACCTCACTTAACCCAGTTATTGGAATGCCACAGGCCAAGATAATTAATGTGTAGGCCCTTGATAGTTAATAAGATAATATGGTCTAATTTGGATTACATTTTCTAGCCATTCACGGGTTTTACAAATCTTCCAGGTGAAGAAGGAAGGCATGCCACTGGGTGTTTCTTGTGTCACAACATCTACATAGAGAAAGTGAAGAGCCTAAAAATCTTTTCTTATCTGCTGGTACATGTCTGCACCAGTAGGCTTCACTGATGTGGAACAATCTTGGTTATACCCTCGGCTAATAATAACGCTCAATAGCAGGAGCACCACTTAAAGCAGACTATACGATAAACCATACACAGAGAGCAATAATGTAAACAAAACCATAGAACATTACTTACAGTGTGTACACAAGCTTCCTTATGTTACAACAAAGGTCTGAGTATCTTTTTCCATTATGTAAGATTTTAAGATGAACTTTAACTCAACTCATAATCAAACAGTAATCAGCCTTGGAGCTGTGCTAATAATTTAACAAAAGTACAGTGACTTGCAGATGATTTTCTGCAACACTGCCTGAAAGAAATGGACTTGTGAAAATGAAAAATCTGTATTGTGTACTTACTGTAGTACTGATGCCACCTTGAATTGAGGGGACAACAACTTATGGTATTAACTGTACATTATTTCATATGATGATGAACATATATTTAAAATAATGTTTCATCTGTAGGCCTTGCACTGCTTTGAAGAAACATAATTAAACATGTTTGACAAATTCCTTCTCCATATTGTACCTTTATTTGGTAAATTGGCAGCATAAGTAGTGTACTAAGTACTGTATATATGACACCAGCAGGAGACACAGATCGCAAGTGTGCACAGTATGTGAGAACCCTTCCATTTGTGTTAGTCAGAGTTGGTGATTAGCCAGCAGCACAGTTATACTGCTGGAAATTGGTGAACAAGTGGCTTGGTTGCTCTTGAAGCAGAAGAACAACCCAGAAACACAATGTTATCACTTTATATATCTGATATGGAAAACATACTTAGTAAACAACTGCCAGTTTGCACATCCAGCACACACAGAGCAACATTAGCATTTGGAGTCGTGTTTCTGGCCAACTGGTGATTGGACATCTAACATTAATGTTATCCTCCTTTTAGCACAGCTTCATTTTTCACCAACTCCAGCAGGAAATATTTGGCACTTTAACTGCTAAATGCTCCAATGTCTCCATTGGCTAGTTGCTAACTTCGTTTGTCTGCTCTTTGGTGCTGGGCAGGGTGAGGACAGGCTGCCTACAGTTAGCTTGGTTGCAGTTTGTTTAGTGAGTAAAACGGTAAATAAAGACTGAAGGTAAAAAAAACAAGTCTGATTGTCAAGGTAGCATACTGTGGGTCTATTGTCGATTTATCAGAGCTGTTAGATGGAAATGGCTGTTATCTACCTCTGAAACAAGGTTTAACACAGCAGATGGTATGCTAGTGATGTTAGTGCCCTGATTTAATGATATGAATATAAATATTTGCTGGCCAAGAACAATTGTCAGGTAAACTGCTTGCTGCTTTGCTGTATGATAAGCTTGACAGAGAAGAACAATTGACAGAGTTGAAAGGATTTTTTTTTAAATTATTGGCTCACTCAAAAGGTGTTAGCATTAGCATGAAGGGATGCTTGGCATGGCTGTCTCAACAAGTAGATGCAGTTTCATCACCGTTTGACACAGACAACTGAAGCTGTGCTTGTGCCTAGAAGTATGTAGGTCATTGTTTTGATTTCACAGACCACAGCTGCTCTGGTTCACTATGACTGCTCTCATCAAACTCATTTCAGCCACGACAGCTATGTTCAATGAAGACCCAGTGAAAACCTTACTGTACTCAACCTGCTGTGCACAAAAAGACAGATGAAGTTAGCAATTAGCTGGTGAATGTGCTGGAGCATTTAGTAGCTAAAGAGACAGCTACAGTATGTCCCTCAGGAGTTGCTGGTGAGTAAAAGAGGGCAAAGGGAGAGCAACTACTGGACTTACATCCATTAGGTGTAGAACAGTACAACTCCAGGCTCTGCTGGATGTGTACAAGCTACTGTTTGCTAACAGTGTAGCCACAGCTACAACTTTATAAAGAAACAATATGTCATGGTTGTGTTTGCAGCTTGTTATGTCGGCCCTAAGGGGTCCAAAAACAACAACAACAAAAAAACTATCAGTTCTAGCTTTCGAAGTGATTTTTTCACAATGTAGAAAATGTTACTCATAGTGTATCTAACGTCCTAATTTATCCAACTCAAATGCCAGTTTTGAGCCCGTTTAAATTTGTGAAATTGGTCAGCTACTTTTTTCTAAATCAGAATACAAAACAGAAAATGCTAACTTATTTTTAGCTTTGTAAATAGGCTTATTCACATTGTGGGAATCATGCAGTATATGTTTGTACTTAAAAATGAACAAAAATACAAGCAAAAAAACAAATTAAACAGCTCTTCTTCGGCTAATTTACTTCTATAATATGAACTATTCAATATGAAACAATCTTTATGCAAACATAAATGTGTTTTGCAGTTGAGAGTGTATAGGCCCTATACTGCAAAAACATCATAATCAAGATGTGACAACCAGTTTAACTATAAAATATTCATGGAGATGTTTTTATTCCTATAGACAGTCTGCATTTACATCTAACACTATAAAACTTGACTAATTTGACAAATGCTTTAATTTTTAGTAGTTTGCCTGTTTTCATTTAAATATTTCATAGAACTAAAAACACAAAGTTTTATCTACAAGGTGTTCTTTTCACTGTCCTAGAGAGAAAAACACAATTACATGTAAAAGGCTTGCAGAGCAGCTTGAAAAGCTGCAGACAGAGAGTGAAAAGGATGCCACAGGTCTACCAGGACAATGTGTTACACTAGAAGTTTTAGCTCCACCACTGAAAGAGTAACAAACAGACAAACTGCCCAATGAACAGACAAAAGAGGGATGCAGGGAGGTGGCACCAAAAGCGTCTGCTGCTGATAGAAGAGGAGCCACCAGAGGTAAGGCGAGTCAGTCAGGGAAACGAGGAAGACACCAGTTGGAGGCAGTGGAGGAGAAAGCAGACTGCAGCCTGGTGCTGGTACAGGATGAGACGGCCACAGACAGCCCAGTGCCTGCAGAGGAAAAGAGAAGTGGCAGCTCAGTGCCAGGAAAGTGAGTAAAATGCTTGGAAAGGAGCGAGAGAGGTGACAGAACAGGAAGAGGTGGCTTGGCGCCTGGGATGAAAGAATAGGGGGAAAAGCAGAAACAGAAGAAGGACGGGGTCTGGTGCAGGGGGTGTCAGCCCGCCATGCCGGATGGAGGCCTGTGGTGTGGACAGGACTGGATGACATCCCAGACACTGATGGAAGCCTGACACATGGCAGGCATGCTGGTTTAGGAAGGCAAAGACCACACATGGGGGAGAGGAACTCATCTGCTGAAGCAGAACGTGAGATGGAGTCCACAAATGGCAGTGGAAGGTGAGCATGGTTAGAGTGAGCCAGATCGAGGCTGCCGTTTATGAGACAGAAAAACACTCTGCAAGTGTAAAGCAGAAGTATTTATAGACAGGTAGCAGGGAAAGGTGCATGTTAGGGGCATGGTCTTACTCCTGAACCTCCGAATGTCATCTTCATCTGATGATGCAGTCAACGTGCATTACATCCTGCAACACCTTGACTCCCCAGGGATCTATGCACAGGTCAACTTTGTGGACTTCAGCTCGGTGTTCAGAACCATCATTCCGGACAGCCTCCACTTTAAACTGACCCAGCTCAATGCGCCAGCCCACACCTATTAGTAAATCACTAGCTTTCTGACAGACAGGAGCCAGGTGAGGCTGGGGAAACCCACATCCAGCTTCCAGACTTTCAGCACAGGCACCCCCGAGGGACGTGTGCTCTCCCTGATGCTCTTCTCCCTCTACATCAATGACTGCACCTCAGGGGATCCCTCTTTAAGCGCTTGAAGTTCACAGATCACCAACGGTCATCAGTCTTCTCCCAGACAGTGATGAGTCTGTGTACAGATGGGAGGTTGAACAGCTGGTCCTGTGGTGTGGTCACTATAACCTGGAGCTGAACATATTCAGAACAGTGGAGATGACAGACTTTAGATACAATCGATTGTAGTTTTTTTTTCTTGTCTTTTATTTGCCATTCTGTTTTATTTTGTTTTTATTCTGTTTTGCTTGTTGCACATCAGAGGCCACTGAACTGGAGTCAGATTCCTTCTATTTTTAACATACTTGGCAATAAAGATTATGATTGATTGAATTTTATTAATATAAATGTTATTTTTTATTATAAAATACATTTTATTTTGGTAAAGCCTCTATTTATCACCGATGTATTGAACATATTTGGTTGAACAAAAAACAGATTTTGATTCCCAAACTTCAGTGTCCTGAATGGTCACTAGGATCCTTTCCACACTGACAGATTCTGTCACAATATACAACTGTATATTTTAGTTTGGAATCATAACATAATTTATTCCCTAAAATGAATGAGATAAATTGAAGACCAACACCATGTAAATACTTCTGTGTGCATAATTGCTGTGGGCCACTGAAAATAGGTTGGCCACTCATCTTCTCATAGTATTCATGAGGGTACAGAACACAGATTGAAAACATATTCTTAGTAA